TGCTTTGTCGTGTATTGAATATATTTATACTGTTGTCGGTGAGTCTAGTCAGTTTATGTTAAGTCTAGTCAGTTCAAGTCAAGTCTTCGGTTGTTTGGATTATGTTTAGATCACTTTGTTTAAATAAATCTGCACTTGGATTCATCACTACGCTCGCCTACAGTGGACTATCATTACAGATATGTATTATAAATATTACTAGTGTTGATATTTTTTGTCAAATTCAGTGAAATGAGCCATTGTGCTTATCATAAGGAAGCCAAAAAGTCATATCTCTGAGAGACATGAAAAAGTCTTGCATAATAGGAAGAGTCTCAGAATAACTTATGTTCCGCAGAAGAAAGAAAATCATACAGGTTTGGAACGACATGAAGATGAGTAAATGATTACTCGGTGTATGATTACTTGGTTTTGAAGTTCTTGATTTTGGTGAACTATCCCTTTAAGTAAAATAAACATCTAAATATACTTAAGATATTACTTATTATATTACTGGATTATAAATAAACGTGTTCATCTTTCATTTTTATTACTGTCTGATGCGGCGATGTACTTTTTAACGACGTTGGTGTCACGCCTCTCAAAAGTTTTTGAACCGTAAGATTTTTAATGCTTTTTAAAGAAGTCTCCTCTGCTCACCAAGCCTGCATTTATTTGATCCAAAATACAGCAAAAGCAGTAATATTGTGAAATATTTTTACTATTTAAAATAGTTTTCTGTTTTCTATTTGAATATATTTTAAAATTTATTTTATTCCTGTCATTTCAAAGCTGAATTTTTAGCATCATCACTCAAGTCATATGATCCTTCAGAAATCAAATATTCTGATTTGCTGCTAAAAAAAACAACAAAAAAAACCTTATTTTTATTATGTTGAAAACAGCTGAGTAGAATTTTTCAGATGATGAATAGAACAGCATTTATCTGAAATGGAAATCTTTTGTAACATTATGAATGTCTTTATCATCACTTTTGATCAATTTAAAGCATCCTTGCTAAATAAAAGTATTAATTTCTATAACTTCTTTCCCCCAAAAAACAAATTCTACTGACTCCAAGCTTTTGAATTGTATAGTGTATACAATTATAGTGTAATGTTACAAAAGCTTTTCATTTCAGATAAATGCTGATCTTTTGATCTTTCTATTCATCAAAGAATCCCGAAAAATTTTACTCAACTGTTTTAAATTTTGATAATAATAATAATAATAAATGTTTCTTGAACAACAAATCAGCATATTAAAATGATTTCTGAAGGATCATGTGACACTGAAGACTGGAGTAATGATGCTGAAAATTTAGCTTAGATCACAGAAATAAATGACATTTTAATATATATTTAAATAGAAAGCAGTTGTTGTAAATGCATGTTTGGTGAGAAAAGACTAATTTAAAAAAACATAAAAAAATATTACTGTTCAAAAACTTTTGACTGGTAGTGTATGTATCACACTCATATCACATCTAGTTGTTTTGAATAATAAAACGTCAGGTCCGACAATATCGTGTCTTTTTGAATTTAAATCTAGATTTATTCGCATTGGCCCATGGAAACCTCTATGAACACTTGACTTGGCCAAAAAAAGCTCTGGGAACGAATTTACTTTTTATTAAAAAGCGTTTACGTATTCTACACTCATGGCTCGCACACACATTAGGATAGGTTAGATGTCTGACTCTGTTGCGAGTCCCTATCAAGCACATTACCGATTCAGCTACTCTCCTCCTCCTGTATGGAGAACGAAACCTGCAAAAACAATAAATAAATAAATGTGTGCATAAATACACGTATTCTTGTTTAAATACATAAATAATTATACATGTGATGAAAGTAGGCAAATTAGCATGTTGTGCAGAGGAAAAATAAATGTGGAACTACATTCAGAAATAAATGAGTGATCAAAGAAAAATAAATAGGATGAGTTTAGCATTTCCTTAAACATTTTCCATTTGTCCACTAATTTATTTTATTTATTTGCCTACTTTAGTCACATGTTTAATTATTTCTATATGTATTTCAACAAGAATTTGTGTATTTATAGACACATTTATTTATTTATTTGTGTATTTATTTATTTATTGTTTTTGCAGGTTTCGCCCTCCATACTCCTGCCTGGCTCTTTGGCCAGCATCACTCACCGCAGAGCAAGCCTGTTCTTGATAAATCTGCTGTGAAAACGTGGGAAAAGCCGACGAGGAAGAAATTGGAGTGAAGCGATCTTTATATAGGTGGAGCAAAATACTTCATCTCCGTCTATAGCGCATTGTGATTGGATGGTTTACGCTGTCTATACAGGATTGCTCGCTGTCCCTGCATGATGGTCCTTTGCAAAAAAAAACAAAAAACCTTCTGTCGGCCCCTTAAGTGCGTCGGCCCACCGGGAAAATGCCTCACACGTAAAAATTCATGACGGTCTCCTTCGGCAGGTGGCACGATCCACTCGCCATACATTTTGTAGGTCTCCCTCAACTATCTAAGAATACAAATATGCAGCCTGTGTGTGTCTAGTTCACCACCACACCTCGACAGACATCGTTTTTGGTGAAGCGTTACGTAAAGAGAGCAGACAGACAATACTGTATTAGATGTCGTTTTAACTTCAGCAAAGCATAACTGTACTGGTATAACAGCTATCTTGTGGCTTATTTGTTCTATGAATGATGTTTTAGTTGCACGCAATATGTCAGTAGGGGTTCAATCTTCAACTGGCTGGCAGGAG